AAGTATATGTGTGTGTATATGTATGTATGTGTGTAAGTCATTTCGCCAAATCCTACTTGTTAGGGCTCGAAGAATCTGACACCCCATACCCATGTCATGCACTGACACACGTACTCATATCCATGCAACATAGAGTTTTATAATGCTAATTTTACTAAGCAAATTTACAATTAAATTAGTCTATGAGAATAGAAAATGGATTTGCTAGAAAAAGAGAGATTGTGTCTCACTAAAAATAATGCCTCTCATTTGAAGAAAGTTTGCCTATCGCCAATTTTCGAGGAAATATTCATGGAGATGTGTGCCAAAATAGCTTCAAAAACCCCATTGAACAATGAACGTTTATATATGAGAAACCAGACACGATATGCTTTCTTTACCCAAAAGAAACCAAACAAGTGCATGACGAAACATACCCTGATGTATAGTAGTTGTGGCTTGGCACCACTAGTATGAGGATACCAAAAATCCTTACCTTCTTTTTTATCTTGCCACCAGGAAGGCGTTTTACTTCATCATGTTTAGAAGTTGATGTACCACCTACAATAAAAAAGTATATCATTGAGGAAGATAATATAACTTTCTCACTCACGGATAACAAGTACCCCACAAATCATATTCTAATTGAATACCATAAAACATTATTTTCATTACTAATTAGTATATTTGTCTACACCCACAAGTAACTTACAAATAATGGTAAGATTCCTATTAATTGTGGCAAGCTAGTCTAGTTATGCATCCCACCGCTTGTGAGCTCGCTCGCTTGCTTACGAGCTTTCTTTAGAAAATCCCATCCGATCGACCGGCTTCTCGACTGCCCGGAAAGGCTTTCGACGTACCTTGTGCCCTAAGTCAGTGAAAGTTTCATAGATATACAATTTGATGTGATGAGGCAGACTTGTTAGGGTGTCGTAGCCCCTTCAACATGTTGATATGTAAATTCATGTAGGGGTCTTTGTAGGTCATGTTGGGGTTTGTGGCCTTTCAAGCCGGTGAGAGCATGTAAATAAGAATCATAGTGGATTGTACACTTCAGTAGGAGTTTATGTGTTGGTTGGCTAACCTAGGGTTAGGCAGTCTATGGCCTTGGTCATGTCCAAAACCCTCCCCCCTGGGCATATGGCACTACTAGAGAGCGTTTTCAAATGATCATCCCTTGTTAAGGTCGGAGAGATGCCTAGGGATGCTTTGTAAGCCAAGATAACTTCGGTCTCCTGTGTGCAGATGTAAGCATGTGAGAGCAAGGGCTAAATCCTCGACAAACTTCTACACGGCATATACAACAACATACAAAGAAGCAACCCTACAAAGGGATATGTGTGCATATGCATAGAGAAAGTCCCCTTGAACTATAGTGATATGTGCATGTGACTTACTCTCAAGGGGGGGAACCTTTAATCCACATTCCAAGACCGTGGTTTCACTATTTATTGACTAGCTTTGACAACCAAGCATGAGCTCCTGCATGAGAATGTAGGTCATGTGCCTCATTTGGTTGGTTTGAGAAGATAGTCGAGGATCACAGCCACTGAGTTGGGTGGAGTGCCTTGACAGTCACTTTTCTTGACCCATTAGTATTAGTCCCCTTCTAGATGTCTTGTTTACAATATAATAAATGTTATGAATTTTAGAATTTTTTAGAATTCTTAAAATTAATTTTCAGCTATGGACATTTTAGAAATTATAGGGATTGTGGATGAGCGAGGTGGAACATATGGGGCCTTAAGATCCATCCCACACAAGCACCACTCTCACATGTGTGGGGTGTGGAGCCCATGGGACCCACACAATGCACCTATGAGATGGCACAGTCACCTTCTCACTTCTTGTTTTGTTTTTATTTTTAAAAGGTGCTTTATTAAAGAGGGAAATCTAATATAATCTTATGAAAAGATTATGTGTTCTTATTTTGTGAGAGTTAATAATATTTTATTTTCGAAAAATATTCTCCAAATCTTTTGTCATTGACGTCCTACAATCTTGTGAGAGTCAAGGGAGTTCTAGAAGATTGTGTTTTGGTCTTAACCTAGGTTAAATAGAAGTGGACATGGGTCAAAGATTCAGGGGACAAGGCTTCTAGATTCCTCCCTAAATCATTATGGATGATTCATGGCATGGATGGCTCGGATTATTTCTCCTCACCTCACAAATTGCCTAAAATTCTATTGGTCGCAATGAGTCATAAATTGGACAGACATTCCTACAGCCCTTCAGGCTTATGTAAGGAGGAGATGCCCTCATTCTATACACAACTCGAAATAGAGAGAGAGAGAGAGGGTGGCACAAATCACCCTGGGCAGCTAGGGGTGGTACACCACCCATGGGTGAGATGAGAAGGGCACAACTAGCTCTAGAAAGACCAAGGGATGTGCCACTTGTAGCATGCCCTACAGAGGTCCATAAGGGTATAAGAAACCCTAATTTTGTTTATGCTCTCAAAAACCCTAGACTTGAAAGGTATTGCCTAAGGAAGCTTCCCGACTCAGAAAATTCAGCAGGGCCAATAGGATCAAAGTGTGTCATTGATCAAGTAATTGGGTGTGGAGTGTACCCAGACCTACGGGGTTGACCCTAGGAAAAGTCAAGTAAGTGTCCCCGGCTGTTTGAAGTTTAGTTTTCAATTAATATTGCTCAGTTTATTTCAATTTCCAGGAGCATTAATTGTATTAGAATTTATAGTTAAAGCTTCTTTTCAATCCTAGATTGAGTCATATTTATGTTCTAGTAAGAAGAAAGATCATAGGTTGTGTATATAGTTTTGTTTCTTATTTACCGCAGTATTATGTGACACTTGTAAGTGCAATTCACATATAGCAGAAAAGAGAAAAAAAACTGATTTTACTCCCTTGAATTCCTTTGTTATAGTCATAGGTTGTCAGCCCCATATAGGAAATCTAGATCACCTAATATCAAATGCTCATTGGACGCAAACAGTTTTTAACTGATGATGAAGTACAACAAATTTAATGTAGCCCACATGTATTCTACATAATACAGTCCATGGTATATAGAAATGTGGCACATGTATCCAGTAGCATATGTGCACTAAGCATACAGAGCAGATCAAGAATTGAAAATCAAAGAAGATCAGATACCATATGTGAAGGAATTTGGGCACTCTGTTTGGTAGTTGGGGTATTGAGGACCATACCTTAATGTTTGAGATTTCAATCACAGCTAACAAAACCCCAAAAGAAAATAAATTGTTGCTGAAAAAAGCCATAAAACCATCTTCTCCTAACCTGCTAGAACTAGGCCAATGGTAACTCTCCACAGTAAAATTCCCTGGTTGACATCAATCCCTAGCAATTCCCAATTATTTTCTGGAACAAATATCCAATAATACTTGGAACAACATCCACAGTTTCAGACTTTGTGAAAATATCCAAGTTCATGATTCATCCCACTACCTATAATTGGAGACGGAAAAGTGAGAGCTATAAGACAGATCAAACATACAAATTCAAAACCTTGCTTACATTGAGTTCAAAATTTATAGTATGAGATAATTGAGATTTCCTGTTGAATTTATGGATGTCTAAGGTTGTATAACAACATCCAGAAGAGCCAAATCTGAGGGCCCAACAAAAATGGCTCATGATTTGAATGCATTATTGCATTTTGACACCGTTGTTTGATCAAAGAGGCAGATTCGCACAAAAAAAGAATAGGGAGAATCAACAAGAAATAACAGACTTCCCGCCCTTTTCTTTTTCAGAATTGTACTGACCGAACTGCAATCTCTAAACCGGCTGAGGCATCTGCATGTCTCAGAATGCCGCAGTAGCCAAGAAATGGCCATTACATCCCAACAAACACCATAAAGGAAGATTATCCATACATAAATTTGGGAACGAAAACCCAGAACTGGGGGTTTCTTCAGCATAATGCCCTAGAAATGAGGATTAGAGAGTAAAAACACACAGAACTATACAAGTTTGGCAGCTGGTCGAAATTTAATGAATGCTTGTAAGATTAAAATCAAAATCAATCAACATGAACACACAAACACTTAAAGCAAGAGGAGGCAAGCCCAATTAACAGTCAGAACAAATGGAGATGGATTTTCAAGAGGACGAGAAATCAGCAATGTTAACGAGTGACAATTCATAGAAGTGCCAATAGTGAAAGCATGAAGGTAATAAATCATCGATAGGCCAAAGGGAATGGGTAGGACAACTAGTAGCAAAATTTAAGGTACCTCTGCCTCCTCCCCCATCACCAGAAGAAATTTCCAGGGACTGAAGCTGATCTGATGTCGCCTTTAAAGAAGCATCCTTCTCTCCTCCTGCAGCTGCCTCGTCTGATGACTCTAATAAAAACAACCACGACATTAATAAGGACAGTGATAGCAGAAACAAACAACCTAAGAGAAACACTTCATTAGAAGGTAGTCCACCAAACCTTTGTTAAGAAGGAGATGGGGGTAGAGGTCGGGTGCGTTTTGGACGAGCCAAGGTTTGCATTTCTCAAAGTCGGGACCAAACTCGCAGTATTCTGCGGGCAAGCTGCATATGGGACAGTACAGCACTCGAACAGCTTCTGGTTTCTCTGCCGCCATCACTAAACCCTACTGCTACTACTATCCTAGTATTCTTTCCTACTCAAACCAACAACTACTGCTACGGATATAAATGAATGATCAATCCTTCTTCTTGGATGAAAGCAAAGCAAAAACCCGGTTATTCTTTCCCCTTCTTCTCCCTGTGTTGCTTGCCTGCTCTGCTTCTCGTTTCACCTGAATAAGGTGGCTTCGCTTTCCTAAACAATAAAAAGTAGCATGGCCTTTGGTGATGCACTCTCTTTCATCGTTGGGTATTCAGGCCTACAATCCACCGTCGTAGGTCGTTAACTTTCCATGGACAAGGGCTGAGTCCGCCGTCTAAGGGTGGATGCAGTATGTATAGAGCCGAGGCTCTAGACAATCAAAGTAAAGCACTTCGAAAAATATGGCAATAGCCTTAAAATATATTTTTATCTTTAATTATAAAATTTAGAGTTTAAAAATAGTGAAGATTGAATAAATATATGAAAACTGAAAATATTAGAAATTGATGTTTCAAAATTCGTTACAAGATGCACTATGTACAAAACTTGAAATCCATTTTTTCTCTTGTCCGTGCATCTTAATGTCTAGAGAATCAATTTGAGGATATTTGGACATCAAAACAATCCTTTCAAGTGAAATTTTTGAGGTAGACTCTAATTTAATTGTTTAAAACCTCGGCTTTATATAAACTTCTTCCTTAAATAAAACACAACTAAATGAGATTAAAAAAGTAATGAAAATTAAATTTAAAAAAATCAATTTATAATCATGAGTATTTTAGAAATAATATGAAAAACAAGAAAAATGTAAACATAAGTATTCATGGGCAAAACACTTTCTAATCTTTGTCAAAATATTAAAAAAAAGTAAAAAAAAAAACATTACAAATTAATTTCTTATTTTTTAGATTTTTGATTTCTCTGTAAATTTTTTTAAAAATCCCCAACTTGACCAAGTCAACACGGCCGATTTTGTAAACATTGAGGCCATACGACTTCTGTTATTTTTTTTGGGGTACTTTAGCGAGCAAAGGGTGCTCATGGGAACGGTACTCCAAACATCATGATGTTGTGATTCCCGCTGCCCTGTGCCTGGAGCCCATTCCTTTCAATTCGCTGCCCATCCTTGAGTGACAAAATCTCAGTTATTTTATTTTATTCAAATGTTTATTTCCCTTGTCTAGTCCAATTACCAGAGCCCTAACTATCGACTATTTGATTATCTATTGTAAGGGTGGAAACAGTTGGGTCAGGTTCAGGTCAATGACTAGGTTTTATATGGACCGTGACCCAACCTAGAAATTAAAAAATATAAAATCTATTTTATGCATGGAAAAAATTTATATAGAGCCGAGGCTCTAAACAATCAAGTTAGAGTCCACCTCAAAAATTTCCCTATAAGAGGTTGTTTTGATGCCCAATGATCCTCAAATTGATCCCCTCGCCATCAAGATGACATGTGAAAAAAATGGATTTGAAGTTTTGAAAATAATGCATCTTGTAACATATTTTTTTACCTCAATTTTCAAGATTTTAAAGTTTTTATACATCTGCTCAATCTATACTATTTTTTAAGCTTCAAATTTTATAATTAAAGATTAAAATATATTTTAAGGCTATCACAAAGATTTCCAGTATTGAAAACATATTTCTTGACACTATTTGAATGTATGCTTTACTTTGATTGTTTAGAGCCTCTGCTCTATTCAAACCGCACGATTTATACATTGTATATTTTTTATATTTTGACAAAGTATGTAAGATTGCAACTCTAAAATATAGAACTAAGGTGCATCTCAAAATTCCATGGGGAATGGTCGTTTTAAAGTTGGAAAACCTCTAATGGATCATCTCAACATAAAGATATATGAATATAGAAGCAAAAAAATTGAGTCCAAAATATAGTGCATCTTGCAACACATTATCTGAACCAATATTTTTATATATTTATAAATCTACTAAATTGAACCATATTTGGAGCTCAAAATTTTATAATTACATATGATGAAAAACGATTTTTACTCCATCCTAAAAAAATTTACACAAAATTACATCGTTTGATTAAATTTGGAGGTGCGTCTTATTTTGATTGTTTAAAGTTGCAACCTTATGCATATCATACTATATATATTTATACAAGTTGACCCGACCCAACCTAATAGACTCAAAGGTGGTCATATGTATGGACCTAGCCTGGATGCCATAGTGTGGAAGCTAGACCAATGCATGGACCTCGGTGCACCTGGACCCGCAATTTGGGTCGACCCCATGACCACCCCTAGTTGTTTAAGAATAGCACCAACCCACGAGCATATATGTAGCCCGAGCTTTGCTGCCATTTTTCGTGCCATTTGTGGTAAACTCGTGGACCTAGCTTTTGTTGGTCGGCCCGCACGGCCATCCACCCCACATCCTCACGTACGTGTGTGGATGTGTGACCCTCGTACCCGTGCAGTGTGTGTGGATAATGTGTGCCATGCCGTGTGATGACTAACAACAAATTAAATTACGAGGTAAGGCTTACCTCAAAAGTTGGGTTGGATTCGGATGCGTTTAGAGAATCAACCCTTTTAGATCCCAGTGGAGAGTTACCGTGGAAAGCCCTCCAACCCGTTGAGGGATGCGGTTTGGTTCCACTCCCTCACACCTCTCTCACCATGCCAATGTTTCAAAGCTGCACACTTATGGTTGTCTAATGGTGGTATGTGCTTGTACGGTTTGGTTCCAGTTGATTTGGCTTGGGGTTTGATGGGTCAAGTGGGGATAAGGGGGGCATGTTGGTTAAAGAGGGTTGGATGGGCTAAAGTGCCTTATGCTAAAGGATAGGTCGGTTTGGTTTATGAGTAGGTGGGCGGGTACATGGAGAGAGTCGAGTGCATCACCCCCCCTAGAGGGGTATAAACGACAAGAGAAGGTGCTTGGCAAATAGCCGAAGCACCCTGAAAGAATCCGCAATTGCGGTCCGCTAGGTAAGCATGTCCCGACACCGCTTTGGAAGAGCCTCTAGGCTAGGGTAAGTGGGTTGGGTGTGTATTGGGAATATGGTGCAAGGTAGGGAGTAGGGTAAGGTATGGTATAGGGAGTATGGTATGGACTAGGGTGTGGTGTATGATTAAGTTAAGGGGATGGCGTAGGTTGGGATGTAGAGTGTGCAGTATGATGGGGTATGGAGTTGCATGGTTAGGTTAAGAGAATATGGTTTGGTTAGGGTTTAGGTAACCCTTGATTAAGTATAGGGAGTTAACCAAAGTGGGTTGGAGATAGGTTAAATTCACTAAGATGACTAACCTAAGGTTAAACCTACGGTAAGAACTATTTTGCAAACTTTCACTTTCTTGATAGAATTACATTTTGCAAAAATATCTCTCTTGATTATATGAATAACGGGGTTTATATAGAGCCTCCCATTTTGAACAAGACTCCCATTTTGAACAAGAGTGGATGATCAAAGCCCAAGAAAACTGAGTAACAAGAAAAAAAATGAAAAATACAACCAAATATTGTGTAAAAGAAAAATTGACCAAAAAGCTCATGCACAAAGTTTAAAATTAACAAATAGGTCATTGAAAAAGAGCCTCTTCCCACCCACATGGTGTGGGGCCTCGGTTTTGGCTTATCCCACAGTGAAACAAACGAGCTATCACTGATAAAGACGTAGAAATGCTCGCTACAATCGTTTTGATATGTGATTTATAATAAACTTGATGAAGTCATTGATGGTTTTGAGTTTCATAGTTACAAGCAAACTTTTATTGTGTTCTTCGATCGATTACTCTGAAAATGTAAAGTTTATTGTGAATCTTTTGTTTATAAATCAAAGGGAGATCCAGCATGATCATTTTGCATCAACAATCACACGAAGAGACATCCGATCAACCGAGTTATGAACTCGGCAAGTCACAAGGAAACCAATTTTATGCTACCACTAAAATCGTGCCCACTTTCGAGCCTCGGATGGGCATTGACTGGGATCTGGTTGTGACTTTTCTTATGTCAAATCGAAGATAGTTGAGTCACGCTCCAAGTGCTCCAAGTTTTATCTCGATCCAATGGTCAGATATTGAATTGTGATCGTTGTAATGTGAAGAGGTTGCACAAACTGATTTTGCATGAACTTGAGAACTTGCATACTTCTCTCTAATATATATTCTGATCCGGCTGACAATCATGTCCAAACCCTACACCATGCTCGTCAATGAGCATGGTCTATCCAAATTTCAGTTCGATTCGACTTGCAGATCGAGAGATCCAAGGGCGCGAAGTTCGCTCATTTATGATGAAATGTTGCAAGATTTACTATATTTAGAAACTAGTTCAAGATGTAACATCATGAACAATATAGAAACAACCCATTTTTTTAAAGTAAGGCATATGAAGATCCGTTTGGCCTGAAATCGAGGCTTGGGGGTTTTCGACTTTTTGAAGTCGTCTGCGATGGTATGGAGGCTACTTGAGATCGATTTCCAGGAGTTTTACTATATTGTTCATTTGTACACCTACAGAGTACGACACTCCTTCTCAATTTCCTCATATCTCCTTGCGGCCTCATTCAATCAAGTTGAAATTTGGGGGATATCTTCAAGGTATTACAACCCACTCTTGTGCTATTCATGGGTTCGAGATGATATCATGCAGGAGCTCTTTTCAAAGGATGGGTTTGATTATACATGTCCTTCCATGTTTTTTCAGGCATACTTAGTGTTTGAGAACCACAGTTGCAACCGTCTCCTCTTTTATTCGCACGGGGGACATGTGTGTCAAAAATACATACAAACAATTTTTTCTTCTTAAGAAAAAATTTATATAAGGTCAAGGTCGTAAATAATAAAATTAAGGCGCCCCTCAAAAATTCACTAGAAGACGTTTTTTTCAATGTCGAAAAACCTTCAAATCAATCATCTTGAGGTCAAGATGTATAGATATAAAAAAGAAATGGATCATAAAGTCTATAAAGTAGTGCATCTTGTAATATATTATCAAGACCATCACTTTTTAATATTTTCAAGTATTTATAAATATGCTTCATCTATACTATCTTTAAAGCCTTAAATTTATAATTACTAGCGGAATCCACATGCTCCGCACGTGATTTCATTTCTTTTATAGAAAATATTATAAGGTCTTTAGTAAGTTATATAAGGTTGTAACATTAAAACATCGAAGTAATGTGCATCACAAATATTTATCATAAGATGTAATTTTGGCATAAAAATTCATCTCTAATTATAAAATTGTAGACTCAAAAAGTTGTTCAAATCAAGTAGATCTATGAACACTTGAAAAAATGGACGGTCCAAATAATATGTTGCAAGATGCACTATTTTATGGACTTAAAATCTTTTTTCTTTTTCATATTCATACATCTCGATGTGAAAATGACAAATTAGAGGGTTTTCAAACTTCAAAATATTATTTTATGATGATTTTTTAACTGCACCTTAATTCTACATTTTGAAGTTACAACCTTATATAAACTTTTTCTTTTTAATAAACTGTAGTTTTGTATATTAATTTTAAGTAAAATATTACTTAGAGTAGTACAATGCATTGTGTTTATGGTGCTGATTTATTGTGTTACCAACTCAATTTGTGTGATGAGTTTAGATGTCAATCATAAGTGGCTCTAGAGATATCTAGACAAAGGTAATAGTAAAAATTTATACTATAAGAACATGTTAGAACAACCTATGTAACTAATATTGAGTCATAACAAATATAACTTAGTAACTATATAATTTGACTGATAAGTTGATATTATACTTATAAAAGAATAAATCATTGTTTGAGATTTTAAAGCTGGCATTCAATTAATATTAATGTTAAACAGTACAATAAATCATTTTTGTAATGGCATTATGTTGTCACTCGCAACTTGTCTTATTATTTTAAATAAGTACTAATATTAAGTAAATCACTTCTTTGAGCATTGCAAAGCGTACTTTTATTGTGGTCTTGCTAGACTATATTGTAGGTTTATTTGTAATCAATATTATATTTTTTAAATTCATTAGATTTATTATTCAATTTTTAAGTGTTGGTTCTAATTAAAAGTTAAAATTTGTTATAAATTTAATAATATATAAAATTAATTTAAATACTTGTAAGTTATTAGTTATAAGTTATAAATGTTTGTTTTTTTTGGGTAGTTGATAATGGAAGCCTAGACCTTAGCTGGGGCACAAGTAATGTTACCACCATGACCCCCAACCCCATTATCAAAAAAATATGTATTTGTATATGTATAAGTTATAATTTTACATCTTATAAATAATATATATATATATATATACACACACACACACAATTATAATTTACAATTATTATTTTTTTGTGGTGAATTATGCATTCTATTGTGGTACTATATCATGATACCTTATTTTTTTAAAATATCATGAACATAGAATTTATTTAGATATGGTATTGAAATCAAGATTGTAATACTGTAATTCAATAAATTTGTCTTATTCCTTAATAATATTTCATATCATTTCTTCCATATTTTTTTTTAATCGTGATATTGTACTTATCAAGTCATAAAATAGGAAATTAAGATTAAAAAGCTTACCTAACAATTTGTTCACTAAAGTGTTCAGGTAAATAAATGAAAACGTGAGTAATGTCATGTACACCTTTTATGTAAGAAGCATATTTTTATTTATGATTTAAATCTAATTTTATTATTAATTATGATATTTCTCAATTATAAATTTATTTATATTAAAAATTATGAACTTTATTTTATATTTATAATTAGAAATTATATTTTATAATTATAATTATAAAGTGTAATTTATACTTTAAATTTTAAACTCATTTATTAAACAATTTTAATATTTGTATGTTTTCATATTATTTTTATGAAACATTTATAGTTTTTAAAATAAATATTAAAATCTAACATATTATTAAATGAATAATAACTTTGTATATAAAAGTTTTAGCTTTTGAATGGAATAGTGGGAAATAACATAAATGTAAAATTTTCAACGTGAGAATATAACAACGTGTCTTAATTTTATTGCATAAATTTTATTATTTTATGTTATAATCATGATTTTAATTATTATATAAAAATTATTAATAAATAAAATTTATGATAACAATAGAATGCCAAATTAAATAAAATACTATATACTTCTATACTAATAAAGATAATGGGAATATCTTATAGTATAAAGGTATTGGCTATTTTGAAAAAATAAAAATTAACTTTTGTAGTTCATTGATGTACACCGCTACCCCAACATGTTGAATATGGAAGTTGTAAAAGTATATTACCTAAAGTGCACCCATAAGAGTACACTATATATTTGATCCATCAAGTAAAGCATTTATTAATGGTATTTTACGTATGCTAAACATGGGGATCTACTTTTAAAAATGCATTTTAAACAGAAAAAATGTAAATTTTGAGTTGTTAGTAAAAGTTTGTAGTGAGAGATCATACACCATTGGGCACATAAGATGAGTTTTTATGTTGTTTTTATGTTATAATATATGCAATAATGGACTTATATTGTATGCCTCGAATTTGAACCACACAAGTGTGAACTATTTATTGATTGGAATCAAATAGTAGAAAATAACATGAATATAAAATTTATAACATGAGTGAATAAATTTTTAAATCAAATATGTTGTTTCATTTTAAATTTGTGAAATATTTTATCAAAGTGAGAGTATAATTTCCAATACAAAAAGGGAAATTTTAATTTATTTTGATTTTTCAAATGTATGATAGATATAACAACATGTCTTAATTTTATTGTATAAAATTTGTAATTGCATGTTATATTCATGATTTTGATTATTATGTAAAAATTAAAAATGAATCAATTTGATAATAACAATAGAATGCAAAATTAAATCTGAGGTTTTAATATTGAGGCAGATCTGCTGGCTTAAGAGGTCCACGTCATTATTGACAGTGGCAATCCTCTCCTCTTCTTTTGTCTCCCTTCCTTATTTCCCTGTATTGTGTTTGCTTATGGTGTTTGTTTTGCTTTCTTGTATTGTACTTTCATTATCTTAGTGTGCATTTTTTTAGAAAAAAAAATGTAAAATTTTTAAAAAAGGGAAAAGTTTATATAGAGCCGAGGCTTTAAACGATCAAATTTGAGCCTACCTCAAAAACTTCACTAGAAGAGGTTGTTTTGATGCTCAAATATCTTCAAATTGATAATCTCGACGTCAAGATATATGAACATGGAAAAAAAAAAAGGTTTCAACTTTTGAAAATAGTGTATTTTGTAATGCATTTTTTGAAAGTCAAATTTAAAGATTTTCAAGTTTTCATAGATCTACACCATTTTGAAGCTTTAAACTTTATAAATAATATAAAAATATATTTTAAGGCTGTCACAAAGATTGTCACTATTAAAACCACAATTCTCGATACTATTTGAAGGTAGGTTCTAATTTGATTGTTTAGAGCCTAAGCTCTATAGAGATAAAAAAAATACTACATACTTGTATATTATTATATTATTAAAAATAAGATATAATATTAAAGATGAAGATAATATTGTCTTTTACAATAGATGTAATGGTTATTTTTGGAAAAATGAAAATTGACTTTTTGTAGTTCATTTATTGCTTGTACACCACTCCCCCAGGATGGATGGAAGATGTAAAAGTATATTTTTTAAGTGCACCCATAAGAACACAATGTATGCTTAATCCATCAAGAAAAATATTATTAACCGTATTTTATGTATGCTTAATACAAGGAACTATTTTTAAAAGTGTATTTGAAAAAGAAAAAAAATTAAATTTTGTGTTTTTAGAAAAAAATTGTGGTGAGATCATGTACTTTTGGGTATATAAGATCACGTTCTATGTTATTTTGTTAGCATTATTAATTCTATTTATTTATGCACTAATAAATCAACTATGTTGATGGACACTCTATGCTAAACTCTCCATCCAAACGGAGCTCCAAACTCAAGATACATTAAAAAAAAAAAAAAAAAAGGTAGTTTTCCACTCTATTACAAAAACTTTTGCCATTCCAAAACTAATATTTGGACACCATTTGAAGATGCGCGATTTTGCCTGCCCAAAGGCTCCTCTACTCGACAGAAGTCCATCTTGTCCTACTTTCCCTGCCTCCCAACCCTGAACGACTTAACAGAACGGGGAAGACGAGAGAGCGAGAGTCTTAAGCGGAGGTATTTACTCTCATCTCTCCTTTTTACTAACAGGGTAGGGCTCCCCTCTCTTTCGCTGAGGTTGTATCTGAGGGAACGAGAGATGTCTCCAATATTTATTCTTGTTCACGCAGTACCATTCCAGAGAGTCAATATGTGCACATTCAAAGAGCCATAAAGCCAACATAATTTCCTTTTTATCGAGATGAAGGCAAGAGCTACATTTGACGATTAGGTGGTAGAATGAAATCCAACCACTTCCTATATTTCGATTATGTCTACTTCTCCATCTAAAGCAACACAGCCACTATGCACCTAAACTCTATTTGTCCAAAATCCAAATTGTACCAATTGTTCCATAAAAGCAACTACTCGCTGCTCTGATAGTTTTACGTCTCTTCCGGCTTATGCAAGAATTAGCAACTGAGTTTGATTTCTGGGTCTGAATCGACTCTGAACTATATATGAAATCCAACCGCACCCTTCTCAGTATACATCTTTATTTCACATCTATCACATGTGCCCATATCTAGCTTTTTACATAAAATCCAGAGATGTTAAAAATGTTTAATTATCTGTGGGGATTACTTTTTTTTTTTTTTTTTACGATCATTACGTTCTTCTACTGTGCATCCAACCTTGTCTCCCTAGCTTTACATTTTATCTCCCTATTGGTTTCACCCCCCCCATGGAACTTTTGAAACATGTGCATGATCTCTGTACATTTAATAACCCTCTCAATTACCTGCAATTTATTTCACTTGCTCTGTGATAATTGTTTCAAATTGTGTCATGACATGAGTAGGATATAATGCAATATGCCGAAGGATTTGAGGAATTCCAATTTTCAACTCTTCCACTAGCCATCACTTACATGTTTTCCTTATGGCATGCGTGCTCCAAGCAAAAGTCTCTATGCCTTGGAAAGACCTCGATGCCCAATTTATCGTAAACAACATACTGTTATCCATCCACCATGTGTACTTCACAAAGCACTTGATGAGGCACTAATATCTGGATACAAAGCGCGGTGAGATGGATCATGCTCGCTGCTTGTTCGACAGGATGTCTCTTAGAAACACCATCTCTTGGACTGCACTAATATCTGGATACAGGCAGAAGCGGAGCCACTTTCAAGCATTGCAAGCATTTCTCATGCACAAACAACTCGAAGCCCCGCCACACACATCACATATGTGGGCGTCCTCAGCTCATGCACCAAACTTGGCTTCATTTGGCTTGGAATGCAGGTCCATTACCAGCCCGTCAGATAGGGCTTTCACTCTTATAACTCCGTTGAGAATGGCTTCATATCATTGTACAGGGGTGGGCGATAGAGTCCCGGATGCCTGCGGGTGTTTGCAAAGATTCTTGAACCAAATGATGTTTCGTGGACTCTTGTTTTATCCGGTCTAGTGCAAAATAACTGATTATACATGGTGTCAGTTCCTTCGAGGATGATGTCTCCAAGCATTTTTCGTGACGTCCTTCATGCTTTCCAGCTCTCTAAAGGCCTGTTCTGAGGATGGGCTAGATAGGGGTGGCAATTTCAAGACCCTACCTGACTAGGTTTCACTCGGATCCGTTCAAAACATGGACCTGGACCTGGATCCTCATTATTCGACCCGACTCGATTGCCACCGCTAGGGCTAGATGGGAAAGTAATTCAGAACATTGCTGTTAAAACTGGTCTAGACCTTGATCCTTTCGTGGGATTTGCACTGATAAGCATGTACTCAAGGTGCAAGGATATCAAAGATGCATCTAAGGCATTCCATGTAATCATGGACAAAGATGTTGCGTCATGGACTGCTTTGATAGAAGCTTGTGGGGAGAATGGGAGAGGAGGCCAAGGTTTGGATGTGTTTGTTCGCATGATTGAATCTGGCATGAAGGTAGACGAGATCGCTATGACAGTGGTTGTGGGCAAATGCGCCGACCTAGCCATGCTCAAGCATGGCAGGCAGATCCATGCCCATGCAACAAAACTCGGTCTAGACGGTAGGGCACACATGGGAAATAGTTTGATGGATATGTACACGAAGTGTGGAAACCTTGATGAGGCGCTCAAGCTTTTTAGCAGGATGAAGTAGAGGAACATGGTTTCATGGACCACCATGATTGGGGGACTTGCGCACCACTTTTGACCTATTCCACGAGATGCAGAACAGCCGGTTGGAGTCCAACTCCATCACATATCCTTGAATTCTTACAGCATGCTGGCCTTCTCATAGAGGGTTAATGCATATTTGAGTCAATGGTTGTCAAGCAATGTAAGAGCACCATGTTTGCATGGTGCGCACTTACTTTCAGTGGGAGGGAGTTTCAAGGAAGCAGAGGAGTTTATTAGGAGAGCTCTTATTTCACACAGGCCATTTCTATGGCCGACCTTTCTCACTGCTTGCAAGAACCATAGGGAGTTGGAGAGAACATTACGTATTGCACAGATGATGGTGGATACAAGGACAGAAGATCTTTCCACTTTGGTTCTACTGTCAAACATTTTTGCAGTCGCAGGGAGATGGGAGGATGTAAGGAGGGTGACACAAGCAATGAAAGAGAGGGGAATGAGGAAGCAACCAGGGTGCAGCTGGATCAAAGCTGATAATCAGGTCTAAGACACTGCCAATTGGTGGTTAAAATTGCCATTGGTGGGTATAAGTACCTGCCATTGCTTTTTATTTAGTATATGTGAGAGTGTTCTACCAATGTTTGGATTTGCGGCCTTTAATACCTGTGCACTTGGTCTTTGATTAAAGTTTGTCGTGTTTTCCCCATTTATGTATCTCATGCTTTATGTTTATGGATCATTCACAATTTTAGTGGGAGTGTGCTCTGCTTGGGTACTTAGAGTAGGGCATGAGTAGGGAGTTGGGCACCATAATTCTCTCCTTGACATGCGTTATACCTTGACTAGTTGATTGAATCTGCACCCTCGGCTGGTTGTGTTTTGAGCCCATGCTGCACATCAACGAAGAGGGTCCCTAGGTACCATGTCAAGGTCTGTAGCAAGGGTGGATGTTGTTTGGTTGGCCAAGAGACGAAGGAGGCTCTTGTGATGTAGGATGTTTAGGGGTCTGTGAGTATAAGTGCCTGAAAATTTGGCAAGGGAAATCCTACACAGCATGTGTGCTGCTTGCCTCAGATTTGTGTGATTCTGGAGTTTTATTGGGTCAATTGTTTTCGGTATGTTACTTGATGCAGGAAAATAGAGAAAAAATGCAAAAGAGTTAAGTAAACCATCAAAACATGCTAGATTTGAGTGGAACTGAATTTCCTCGCACAAGGAAGAGACTCCAAAACCCTAGATAAGGCTTGTTGTTACTGTTCATGCCCCAAAAGTCTTAGAAGCCCTAACACCCCATGCCCTTTTATTAGATTATTAAAAAACGACCAAAACGACCCCCCACTTTAGTTACATTATAAAAATTCCTATAAGTCCCTTCACTCAAATTAAAACTATAAAGTCCCTAACTGCCACTAACTTTAATTAAAAAACTGGAAATCCCTAAGAGACCGTAATAAACAACAACAACTAAAAATAAAGTCCTTCAAAAAAGCCGATCTTCCCCTCTTGGAACTCCTTGCGACCTTAATCATAAAAAGAGTTGTCAAAAGATGGATTGATTGGGTCAAAAGGCCCATGAGAGCTTTCTTGACTAGTCGAAAGACTGTCTGGTGTATCCCTATTAGACTCTAAACTTGGCTTGGGGAGAGCATATGGAATCCATGACTATTTGCATGGGAGACATGTGGGTTATGGATTTGTTGGGTTGATTTGGGTTTAGATGTGATCATAGGGTTGTCATGGAGTGCATGATAGAAGAATTTAGTTTTAGTGCTAGCATACTCTTCTAGTTGTTTTTCAAGTGGCTTTCAAAAGGCTTGGTAAGGAAAATAAAATGCTTTTATTGTCTATATCTAACCACTTATGTATTGTGAAGGGATATTTTTTTTAAAAAAATATTTGTTTTAAATCAAGATTTTTGGTATTATAATTTTTTTTTTTGAGATTCAAGTGGTATTATAATTTTGTTCCAAAGGAACCAATTTTGGAGCATACTGTATGCACACATACGGTTGCCTTTGACCATTTGACCAACTTGGTTCCCACTGGCCATGGGTGCCCTGTGGTAGCCAAAGGACCACGAATTTAAAAACCTATAAGTGAAGTTCATGATATGGTTGATGATCACGCAATACGTCACGACAATAGGTGAGCGTGAGAATGTGGGTGGTTGATGCCATTGAGTGAATGGATCATATGTGTGGATAGATTTGTTGTTTGAGGATGTACAACATAAACAACTTATATATCAATGATTTGATGAACGCTGAGTCAGACATGAATCACCCTCGATACCACCATTCCGGTTCCCACTAATATATGGGGAACCGGCCGAGTGTAGAACTGAATCGATGATTCTGTACAGTAAAACGACAAGTTTGTATAGTAGAATCGCCGGTTCGTCATTTTTTCCCCATCTTCAACATAAGGTTGTAGCAACAGTGAGGAATCTCAATTTTTCGTATTTTTCAGGCCTTTTCAGATCAATAATTGTAGGAAATTATTGATCATTATCTAGAAAACGAAGATTGATCCATTGCAATCTCAAATCAATTCATTTTTTCAAATTTTTATATAAAAAATTGGGGTTTTTTGAGCCACTCTAGGGTTTTCTGCCATTCTATGAAATTTGTGGCCATTCGACCACGAATTCTACTTAAATGTATTTATTCCAAATTCTGCTTGAGGTTTTCTCAGGTGTATTCATTCCATTCTTACCTAAATTTACATAAGAAAACAGTCTTTGAGTTTATTTAGTGGAATACAGTGACAATCTTTTTCTCCTTTTTCTTGAGGCTGATTGGCTATGTTAGAATTAAGTTCTATGCAATCTTTTTCTATGTACAAGACATCATTGTGGTCCTCTTTATTCCAGTTTAATATTCAAGTTTATTGTATATGCAGGCTTGAAGTTCATTCCTATTGTTCTCAGTTACTCCAGTATTTGGTCTTCTTGAAAGAAACTATCTTGGTCCCCTCATCAAGGTTCCAATTGAGCTAGTTTTACATGGCACAAACAATGAACAATCAACAGGTTTTCAAAACTTCTTCTCTGCATCTTTTCACGGAGTGTGCTGGTAACTCTTAGCTTCGGATGAGACACGATAAAATAAAACTGTTTTATGCCAGATCCAAAGCAGACCATGCTTGTCCTATAATAATTCTCGAGTTCCCATAAAGTTGTATTGTTCTTTCTGGTTTGTTGATCTGACAGACCTCTTAATCATGCAGGAAGACCACTATATTGCAACAATATCTGAGACCAATGAGAAAATCTGTTGGGGATGTGGCATGCGACTCCTGCTTCCACCTTATACCCCTATCTTCAAATGTGGATGGTGTGGTGCAATAACCGATCAAAACTTACAGGATCGCTGCTCTTCGTGGTGGAGGAGGCTGCGGGATCGATTGCTTGTGACTGGCCTTCTCTTTTTCATGCTATTTGTCATATGCGGTGGCATATGGGCCGTGTACCCGGTGGTTTTCTCTTTCAGTTTTGGATGGATAGTTTTTCACTTGTTGACGACAGTTTCCTTTTCTATTGTCACTATTGTTAGTTTCATCTCGGTAGCATTCCAGTCTGCTGCATCACCTTTGAATGTGTTATGGGGCAGCTTAGAAGTCGTAAGAAAAGGAGCTCTTGAGAACTTCACTTTCTGCCACTATTGTGGAAAGCCAAAGTCACCCAGGATGCATCATTGCCGCACCTGCGGCACATGTATAATGGACATGGATCATCACTGCCCATTTGTGAGTTCTTCCTGCTCATTTTTTCTGGCATGCATTGGTGTTGCACGCATGTTGAAGTGATGACTTCTTAGAAAGTCCCTGTATTTTTTCTAAATGCAATCATGCTTTGTGCATCTCTTGAGCATCTAAAGGCACAGTTTTAATTCATGATTTTCTTTCTAAAACCTGAAATCACCTCCTACCAGTTTAAAACAACAATGTCCATTGTCAAAGCACCTTCTATAAAGGGTAATCTCCTTGTGATAAAATTGATGAGGTCCCCTTTAGTCTGCTCACAAAGCTATTGCTGGTTACGTTACTTGTGGAATGAGTTTTTAAAATTCCTGTTAATGCAATAGGTATGCACAGTAATCACCTTAAATTATGTGGAACGGTTGCTCGATTTGCGGTTTACAAGACAATGCTCTTGACTAAATCGGGATCAGTCACCGGCTGATCCCAAGTTGGCCTGATTCCAAAGGTTATGTATTATGAAATTTTCATACAGTGTATTAATCGACCGATTTACTGTATTGATCGGTACTAATCGGCACAAATCAGCTGATTTGTGCACTAATTGGCGATTTGTTGCAAAGATTGCTCGATTTGTGCACTTATAGTGAAAAATCTATGAACACTTGAAAAATCTTGAAAATTGACGGTCTAAAAATACATTACAAGATGGACTATTTTCAAGACTCAGAATCCATTTTTTCTCATGTCCATACATCTTGAGGTCGAGATGATCGATTTGAGGATTTTTGGTCATCGAAATAATCTTTTCTATGGGTTTTAAGGGATGTGGTTTGTACAAGGCTGAGGCCCTAAACAATCAAAGTAAGGCATACCTTCAAATAGTGTCGAAAGATGTTGCTTCAGTACTAGAAATCTTTGTGATGGCCTGAAAATTTATTTTTATATTTAATTATAATATTTAAAGCTTGAAAAATAATGTAGATTGAGCAGATTTATGAACACTTGAAAATATTGAAAATTAACGGTCTAGAAAATGCATTACACGATGCACTATTTCCGAGACAAGAAATCCAAATTTTATCATGTTTATGTATCTTGAGGTCTAGATGATCAATTTGAGGATTTTTGAGCGTGCCTTAATTTGATTGTTTAGGGCCTCACCCTTATATAGACTTTTCTTTATTTAAGTACACAATAAAAGCATTTGTTTTTTGCACATCGTGGTCATAATCATCCCTAGCCATTAGATGCAAAATTGGATGACCAGGAGGCGTACCTTTAACTACCTTCAAAGTCAAAGGAAAAGTTTCTTTAGCATTGCGGCATGTCCTTAGCCTACCGATTTCTCGTCTATCGGCTAGGGATGATGCTAATATTTTTATATCAAAGACTAGCTTGTGTCAATCATTTTATTAGATTTATTTTATCAAATCAATTGTTGGTATCTTCATTCGGGATTCAATTTCTACTAGTATGCGGCCAAAGTGTGACCATTGCTTTGAAGTTGTCTTACCTTTTTTTTCGGCTGAATAAATAGGTCAATCCATTTTCTTTTGTCTTGTGTAGTTCAACGGTAGGTATCAAACTTGTGTAATATTATGTAATTTTCTTCAATTACTAGTTCACTGAAAAAATATTGCTGCAGGTGCCTAAAAATTTCATCTGAAACCCAATTTTGCCTATAATATTTTTTTCGTTTGCTTATTTTATGTGATATACTTGAAAATTTTAAACATTTTTTTTACAATTTTTACAACTTTTTTGGATTTTTTGGGAATTTTTACGCAAATTACAATTTTCCGAAAAAATCGGGCTGCTAATCGGCCGATTTGGTTGGAATCAATCCGACTAATCGGGTCGGGCAAGGACCGACTAGTCGGCCTGATTCATTCTTGTAACCGCTGCTCTTTGACCAAGAAGGATTGAGTCCTATTATGTGATGAAATTGAAATTGAATTTATTACATTACTAGTTTGCAAAATAATGCTCTTGACCTACAATGATTGAAGTCCTATTGTGTGATGAAATTGAAATTGAAATTGAAATTTGTTACCTTAAATTATGTGGCTCGATTTGTGGGCTTGCAAAATAATGCTCTTGATTAAGAGTGATTAGTCTTATTTTATGATGAAATTGAAATCTATTAAATTTATTAGTTTTCAAAACAATGCTCTCGATGATCGAGTGCTATTTTATGATGACATTGAAATTAAATGTTATTACATTTAGTAGAGGTATTTTATTATTCTCCTGTCATTCTACAACGGATTCTCTTGTACTTAATATTCACCAAACTTGTATGGGCTTGAAAAACCATGTATATATTGATTCGTCCGAGTCATGTTTTCTAGAGTCTTGCAACACTTAGTATTGAGGAAGTTTAGTTTTTTTGTCTTTTTTGTGTTAGTCATATTATTTTCTTCCTATTATTTCCGTTGTGAATGAGCTTTATTCTTTATAATGCCTACTAGGTTTGTTCCTGTTTTTGCAGATTGGAAATTGCATAGGAGCAGCAAATCACCATAACTTCATTATATTCCTGGCACTTGTAGTAATCAGCAATCTTTATGCATTTATAATGTCAATAATGGCCAGTGCTTATATCTGGCCATCTCTTGGTCATGAGGCCTTTGGTTCTGTTGCAAGATTGAGGATGCTTGATGTTGTCGGAATCTTTAGTGAACTGGCACGTGCTTTATCAAGCGCTGCACTACTCTTGTCTTTGAGAGGAATGGTGCTTATGTATCTGTGTATTGCTAGCTTCTCTGTGCAACTGGGAATATGCTTATTGTTGTGGCAGCAACTACAGCTGATTTATGAAGGACGGACATACATAAATCACATGGGTTATTGGAATGGTGGGACCAATGAAAGGGGTTGGCAGAATATCCGACGGTTTTTTGATTCTCAGAAATCAGTATTCCTGTTCGTATGTGGTTCCATGAGGTCTGCTGAAAAGACTCACAAGAGATAGGCTGCCGCCCCCTCCTTAAGATCATCATCATCAATGGAATGTTCTTAGTTTTCTTTTGCATGTGATTGTTATGGTGAGGATGGGACGGGAGGTTGAGAGGGTCCAACTGCTACAAAGACATGCGTGCCAAGTCTTGGGCACGTTAACGATAGAAAATGGAAAAGAGAAAAAAGTAGTATGTACAAGAAGGGAAAAGGCAAACGACTACAAATTACGGAGCACTTAATCGGGCCCCTTTGAGTGGCTCTGCTCACATGAAAGAATAAAACCAAACCAGCAAACAGACTGGGATTTTTACCAAAAATTAAAATTAAAAGGGTATGGTATTTTTTTCATTTTGTTTGTATTGGTGCGACCAGATTTTACCTTGGCTTGGAGGCCAATAAAACCAAACCAGCAAACAGACTGGGATTTTTACCAAAAATTAAAATTAAAAGGGTATGGTATTTTTTTCATTTTGTTTGTATTGGTGCGACCAGATTTTACCTTGGCTTGGAGGCCAAAATTCAAACTTCCTGTACCTCCCATGCTTACATATCGAACTTATTGTGAGAGAATTGGGTGTTGCCTGAGAACTTCCCACTCTACTCATACAGTGCACAAGATTATTGCCTTTCTCCTCCGATAAGTACGTAACGAAATGAATGTTTTGTTGTCGTGAGCTGCTTTTTCTTTGAACCATCAGCAGCCAGGGCAGGGTAAATGAAAATTAAGAGGATATGATGCGGCGGTGCCGTCACGCTGTTAAAATAAAATGGAAATGTATTATTCTCTTTTTGGCTAGTTTAGCCCAAGCCAAATTCCTAAAGGTTACTCCCTGTATATGGGGTATTATAAAAAACACCTTATAAAATAGTTTAAGTTATACTTAGAAAGGGTTGTGAACCGTTAAAATTGTCATAGTTGTGGTAATTTTACACACTCAGTCTCTTCATCTCAATAATTAATTCCCTCCAAAAAAAAAGTTCAATGTGAACCTTAGATATCGTCAAAATGAGTCCCCTCCAAAAATGAATTTAGACCATTCATTTTGTGAATTTCGAGATCTTAGTCTTTGTAAACTCAAAATCATTTTTTTTTCTTTAACAGTGTTCATCTAATTATAATAAAGCCATCCAAAAAAATTGAAAATGAAAAAAATCCTTCTAAGGCTTAGATCTAAGCATCTCACTAAAATGAATGGCCTATGTTACTTGAGCTAAAAATATACTTTTTAGGTTGTGTTTTCGAGTTTTTCTTTTTTTTTGATTGTTCATCAGAATGAAAAGAATGTATATTTCAAAATTTGGATCAAACAAATGGCCATAATATAGTTTTTTAAGGTTATTGCATCATATTATTATACAACGGTTGCATGAAATCATTGCCCTTAATTATTCAATATTCATAAAATGAGTATGGGTGATATTTTTACTAAGGTTAATCATGGAATGAAGTTCTCGGTACTATCTTTTAGTGAATGTTCCAAATGAGTAATGATCGTATAGGACCATCCCCCACCCATGTGTGTTAGACCTCAAAGGATCACCATTAAAGTTGGTATGGATCTCTAGAAAAGTTATCACATGGGTGTGGGACTTGACTTTTATATAGATCCGTACTAAATTTAATGGTGATCCTTTGGGGTCCTACACACATGGGTGGAGGAGGGTTCTATACGATCACTTCTCATTCCAAATATACCATTATTGAGATGATTAATATACCTTTTGTCTTTTAGTGCAAATATCGACACTATTTTTTTTAATAATAAAAATACTCTAACTCATTTTCATTGATTCAAAAGTCGGCGAGTCGAACCGGACTCGCTCGATTCGACTCGGGAACCGGTAGACCCCTGCTGGTTCCAATGAAATACCGAAAATCGCTCGATTCTAGAGAAGAACCACCATGTGACGCCATGAATCTCTCGATTCTTCGATTCATGACGTCATGGCCCACCATTTCTTCAATGGGTATTTTTGTAAATTTTAAAAATTATAGAAACCTAAGGTCCGCACCTCGCTGCATGACTTTCCTCGCCACATGACTTTCCTCATGTAGACTTTAAGTAGAAGACTAAAAAGGCAATAGATAAGCCCAAAATGACGTATTTGGAAGTATTAATAAAATATATGTAGACTTATAACCTCGTTGAGATTATGACCCTTAATAGAGCATAATGACATATCAGAATTCGTATAACCAATCCAAATAGTTGAGAAAAGGCTGTACACACATACATACACATATATACATGCACACATACTAGTAGACACCATTCTAATGGTGTTATTAGAATTTCCTACTCCAAAGCTTATTCTATTCAAAATTTTTGGGGTAGAAAAATTCTAAGATCACTATCAAAGTGGTGGTAGGAATGACTTCATGTTACTGTGTCATTGCAATATAACGACACCGCACTTTTAGAAAATCAAGTTTGTGACATTTGTGTGTCCCCAACTTTTGTACCCATGTGCCCTTTCACCCCAAAAAGTCATTCCTAAATAATAATAATAATAATAATCTTTGCCCACAATATGGTTAAAATAAGTCCCCTCCAACAATGAACCTAGACAATCCATTTGCCAAATTTCAAGATCTAAGCCTTTACAAACTTGAAATCAAATTTATCGTTTAAGCAATTTTAATCTAATGATAATAAAACTATTTGAATATTTTGAAGAAAAAAAATCCTTCTAAGAACTAGATTTAAGATTATCACTAATATGGACGGCCTATATTAATTGGGATAAAACTAGACTTTCTAAGATGTGTTTTCAAAATTTGTTTTTTTGTGATTGCTCATTAGATTGAAAATAATACACATATTTAAAATTTGGGGTCAAACAGGTGGTATTAATATAGACTTTAAAGATTGTTTTAATAAATTACTATAGAATTGTTGCGCGAAATCACTCCTCATGTAGCTGCCTTCTTTCTACAACCTTATATGTAGAAGTAAAGTTGCGATGTTCTATATCAGTTATTTTAGTTGGACGATATAGATTTAAAGTTTATTTTAAAACAATATCACAATATTACGCATCTTTTAAGTCAATAGTGAATCCACACCATCTAAATTAAAAGGGTTTGTATTAATGCAACTTTATTTTTAGGAGTGAGGTTGATGTGTCAAATCTACACGTTACAGTTAGACTTAAATTATTCATAGTTTAATGTAATTAGTTTTGAACTTTCAATATATTAAGTCGATAATCCAAGCAAATAGAGAGATTGAGGAAGATTTTGTGTATAGAATTACTATTGGGTGGGTGAAGTGAAGATGTATAACCATAATTTTATATGATCACTGTATACTAATGAAATTGAAGGGAAAGTTTTATAGGACAACTGCGAGACCAACTGCGCTTTATGGGATAGAATGGTGAACGGTAAAAAAAAACAACATACCCATAGGAGAGTGAAGCAGAGATGAAGATGTTGAGACAGATGAATGACAAAACAAGAAGGGATATAATTCGAAATGAATGTATTCATGAGAACTTAGATGTGGCTCCAATATGCAATAAGATAAGTGAAAGTAAACTTAGATGAGTTAGCTATATGCAACGCAGACCTAATATAATATTAGTTAAGAAGTACGAGTTGGTTCAAGTTGAATGTTAAAAAAAACAAAAAATAAACTCAAAAGGATATAGTTAGAAGTAGTGAGAAAAAAAAAAAAAGATTTATAGTTTAACTAAGGGTGTGATAATTAATATAGTAAAATGGGAGACCACAACTGTCAAAATAGTTCATCATCATTTTAACATTTTCCCACTTAATTAGGGTTGACTACAACTCTCAAAATATTTAAAAAAGATAATTAGTTTGGAGCTTAGTGGCATCGTGGGTATAAATACTTTGTACTCCAAAAAATCCACCGATGGTTCTCATCCCTAGGTAGAGGTGACAATAAATCAAGTACAAGTTAGATCCGATTGGACTTGAACCCAAACTTGAATAGTATTTGAGTCCAAGTTTTGGACACATCTATCAGGTCCAAAAGTTGAACACATACCCGGACCCGTATCGGGTCCGGGTGCATTGCCACCCTATCCCTAAAGGATGAAGTTTCTATCAGGCTGCAGCCCTATTTATTGACATTGGACTGCAACCATCAATGCACACTCCCTGATTTGGAAAACAGGGGCCTCCGATTGCCTCGCTCATTATTAAATTATCCGTTTCTTCCCATTTGGCCATGGCTTCTTCTCTCTTATATGAAAGCCAGAAACCCTAATGGCCATGGCTTATTTTCTCTCCAACGTTTCTCTCTCTCTAACTGTACAAATGGCCATGGCTTCTTCGAAGAGTATCACATACATAATCGTTCATTTCAATGAGAATTGGTACTAATATTGAAAACCATAAAAGAGGGGGGAAGATGGGGAAAGGCAGGAGGAAAGGAAGTGTTGAAACGGATAAGAGAGAAGAAGCCATGTCCATTTGTAGAGTTTGAGAGAGAGAAATGTTGGAGAGAAAAGAAGCCATAGCCATTAGGGCTTCTGGTTTTCGTATAAGAGAGAAGAAGCCATGTACGTGGCTTCATTTCAATAAGAATTGGTACTAATATTGAAAACCTTTGCACAAATTCAACACATGAGAAAGTTCATATTTCTTCAAGGTAACTACACAATTTTTGCATGTATTAAGCATATCCAAGATGAAGAAAGGCAGGAGGAAGATTATCACCATAAAAAGAGGGGGGAAGGAGTATGGCGAAAAGAGAACCATTGTTTAGTTCCCAATTCACATAAGCACACGCATAGAGAGAGAGAAGCAAGTAAAACTTAACATATACATTCAACATACCCATACTAAGGAAAAGCAAAAAGACTAAAACCAACAGGTTCAGCCCCAAATTAACAGTGTAACAGTATCAGCCCAAACAACCATAACTCCCAAAAAGGAAATACAGAATAAGAACAAAACAATTAAACTACTGAGTGTACAACTATAAAAAACCCAACAAAACGATGTAAATCTTCAAAGGTCAAGCAGCAACCTCATCAACTGGATGTTCCACTCAATCCCAAATAGTATGATGAGATATGGAGAGAGAGAGAGAGAGAGAGAGAGAGCAAGGGAAACAACTTACATTCAAGTCCCTCTTTCTCTATCTCACTAGGCCTCTTGGGGCTCCTCATCATCCGCAATTGTGTCTTGATATTGCTGATACTAAGACACCAAATCGTTCATATTGCTCTCAGCCTCAGTAAACTCCATTTCATCCATTCCCTCACCAGTATACCCATGCAAGAAAGCCTTCCTCCTAAACATGGCAGTGAACTGCTTACTACTCCCCTAAACATCTCCTGAATCGAAGTAGAATTCCCAATAAAAGTTGACGCCATCTGCAACCCAGTTGGTGGGATATCACAAACAGTTGATTTCACATTGTTAGGGATCCACTCAACAAAGTAAGATGAGTTCTTGTTTTGAACCTTGATCATTTGCTCATCGACTTCTTTAGTGGACATTTTGCCTCTAAACATAGCAGAGGAGGTTAGGTATCGCCCATGGCAGGGTCAGCAGCACACATCATGTTCTTGGCACCCCACATTTATTGGGTTAGTTCAGGGACAGTGAGGGCTCGTACTGCTGGGAACCACGAGAGGTGAGGCGGGTGAAGCCAACCATGAAGAAATGGAGACGAGGGAAGAGGATGAGGTTCACAGTAAGCTTGTGCAGGTCAAAAGTAAGCTACCCAGGGAAACGGCAGCGAGTCACACCAAACATGGTGGCTGAGATCAGGTGGTTCTCCAACTGCGAAAAGAGAGAGAGAGAGAGAGGGCTTCATTACTAAGAATGAGAATGAACATTGCATAAAAAAAAAGATAACAAAAATGAATTGTGCATGGATTAAGCAATGGAAATAACAAGAAAGTAGGTTTTGATCTTTAGTCTTGTCCATTAAAAGTAAAAATACAACCCCAAGAAAGAAAACACAGAACAAGGGCAAGTAATATTCAGGAATTATGATTGGAAAAGGAAGTAGGTTTTGATCTCAAGAATGAAAATTTTGATTCCAAAAATGTAGAAACAAAGGAGGAAATCAGACTATGACATCCATCATGCCCAAGAAGTCATGACCCACACATAAAAATATTTTGGAAAGCACAAAATGAAGAAAGAAGCATAATCCAGTCGTTTAAAAAACGGATCGGTGTGGATCGGACAACCCAAAAACCCATCCGGATCGGTGAATCGGCGGTTTGGATCGAGAATTGGCCGAATTCGGCAATAAAAAATCCAAAAAAATTATTAAAAATCATTATAAATGTTTTTTTTAGGAATCCAAAAGAAATGGGGGTACTACATTATTAACTTTCATTTTTTCAATATGCAAATATTGAGAAGTTCTTTCCCTGTATGAACTTATGTTAACATTAAATTATTATATGGAATTTTATTTTTGTAATTATATGTAATTAAAGATTAATTATATGTACTTTATGTTTGTATATTATAAAAAAGAAATACATATAATTAATCTTAAAAAGAAATAAATATAATTAATCTTAAAAAGAATTATATAGACCACTTCATTTGATAGATGTCCTTGTATAAGAGAGAGATCTATTTATAGAGCATTTAATTTATACATCATTGTACATATGAGAGAGAGAGCGCTATTTATAAATTATTTAATTTACTTTAATGATGTTCGCACTCACATATTTTCAACGCACACTGTATGATGCCATGTACTCTATATAAAAGGGTTTAAGAAGTCGCTGTGCACTGCAAAGGGTGTGCGTTGAATTATCCCACATCGAAGCTTTAAAGGCGAATTCATTATTATAAAAGGTTGGTGGCGCGTGCACCTTAATGATTGCATGAGTGGGACGTGTTTGACACACAATGACAACTGACAAAGGCAAGAAATGTGGGCAACATAGGCCCTCAATTTTGAAAAAAAATTCCTGAGCTACCCTTCTAAACAAGTACAAAAAAAGTAAAAAAAAATGTACTATTTAGTGTAGCAAATCGAATTGTTTACTGCAGCAAATCGGTTGGCTGGATCCGGAACGGTCCAGTTGATACCTGATCCGGATCAACCATGCATAACTTACTGTAGCAAATTGGTGATCCGGAAAGGTCCAGCCGATACGCGATTTGGATTGCTCGATTCCAGATCGGGTTGCCAATTTTTAAAACAAAAAAAAGGTAGCAATGCTTGAAACCTATTAAGTAAACAATATACAATAGTAACATGAGCATTATAAAAGAAAACTAATAGCAAAACAAAGTGTAACTTACAACTAGGAGTGGTGAGCTTGATGTTCCTGAAAATAGATATCATAGAGAGCTTCATTGTTGAGGACCATGCACTCATCTACATTCTCCACAAGCTGGTGTACAGAGAGAGTGGCACTGTATGGCTCGACAATAGTGTCTGAGACCTTTGGTGATGGGAACATATGGCTCGACAACAGTGTCTGAGACCTTTTGTGATGGGAACATAGAGAAGGAAAGCATCATCCTGTCTGGGTACTCCTCCCTAATCTTAGAGATTAATAAGGTGCCCATTCCAGAGCCAGTTCCTCCACCTAGAGAGTGGCAAACTTGGAAACCTGTTATATGTTTGCACAACCATATCAGTATAGGATGTCCATTAACAACATTTGCTAGAGGCACTACAAAAGTAGAGAGCTGTGAGGCACTCGTTGAGAGAAACGAAGTAAAGATCTAAAATATAAAAGAACACAAATGGCTTATTAGAATTAGCAATAGTATCTCTAACGACAACAGTGGCATCTTGAGGAATGACATCCTTTATAGTTTCAGGGAGGTCCTAAAATTGAAGACAAGAAAAAACAGCAGGGTTGGCAAATGGTTACCACCATCTGATGGCTCAATCAAACTAATGTTCATGGTTGTTCTTTGGGAAATCCTATCCTGCATGTTATGGTGGAATTGTGAAGGACCATAATGGAACTCTCCTTTTAACCTTTTTTGAGGATGGTGTAGAACTACAGCTAATGATGGTGAGGTGAGGGTGTTCGTTGAGGGACTCAAAACTTCTCCCAGCCAATCGTAGTATGGTTCATGTTGAAAGGGGCTTTTTGAACACCATTAGGTGGGAGGGAAGTGCAATTCAACCATGTTTATAAGGAATCTAATGTGGAAGTCGACATTTAACCAAAGGACTGTCCAAAAGAATGCTAGAAGTTAATAGATTTTAGTTTTATGTTTCGAGAAATTTGTGTAAACATTCTTGGACTGCCTCTCCTATATGTTGTAATTCTATTATGCATTGCTCAAAGTCACCTGTTAACACCCAAAAAAAACATAACAGAAACTCCAACTATAAATTCTTTCTTTTGGCTCACAGAGGCTACTACTTGGCTTTAAGAATATCAATACTTTGTATAAACCCAGGTCCTTCGGCTTCCCTTCCTCCAAAGATGCCATAGTAAAGCAGCCAGCGAAAAGGTGCCATTATACAATCCTGATTTTACGCATGGGAAGTCTCATCCGTTCTTCTAGAAGCTGAATTACAGTTCTAGGTAGGAGTCATTATAATACTGATTGTTGCAGGCTCGACACCATAGTTTTTCCGCAAATTTACAGTACAAGAAAAGGTGGTTAATGTACTCCCTCATACCCTTAAAATATCAGGGATATATTTGTTCTGATCATTCTTCTTAATATACATTGAACACAAAGAACAAGTAAGTTCTCAATGTGGGAAAGATTGGGAATCACAAAAAATAAACAAATTGCTTAATATGCATTGGGAAGAAAATCATGAAGGAAAATTTCAAGAGAATAGGGATCAACTAGAATAATGAAAATCTAGAGATCAGAAGTTCTGGAAGGCCATTGGAGTAGTAGAGCAAATTGGTTAAAGAAGTAAAAACGAAAATTATCAACTACCTAGAAAAATACAAAATGGTACAGGAGCTTGTTAAATAATCCATAACAATCCCAGAAAAATAAGGTATACAAGACACATTTACCAAATAAAAATAAATCATTTGCATTGAGCAAGTAAATTTTGACATTACAAAAAGAAATTTATGCTTAATAATGACCATTTACTACTAAAATGCAAATGTTCAACAACAAAACAACCAGATCAATGAGCAAAAGCATGCAGAAAATAGTGCACAGATCAATCAAGAAGAATATATCAATAACAAAAGAAAGGAAAATAGAGGAAAACCAGAATATATCAGTAACAAAAAAAAGGAAAATAGAGGATAACCAAGGAAGTTGATCACAAAAAAATGCAGACAAGTAACTATATTGGGTGCAGATTAAAAATGGCGGAGCCAGAAAGTAGACCAAGAAAACAAACATCCGCAGAACCATGAAAAATAAATGAAAAATTTAAACTGGAAGAAGAAATGTGCATAATCTCAGAACATTTTCCTAGTAAAAAAACTAGAAAAATCATCACACAAAAATTCAAACCAGAGTAAAGTACCCCCATGCCATGGAAAATCAGGAATACGAAATGTTACAGAACATGAAACAAACAATAAGAAGCAAAAAGTGGCAGAAATCCCTCAGAACAACAAAAGGAAAGCAAATCATAACAAAAAACTATAAAAATGAGAAATATAATACACAAGATAACTCGCCTTGCAATAAATCTCAGTTCTCAGCCTCCTTCATGGCAACGTCCAGGACAGAGTCAATAAGCTCTGCTCCTCCAGTGTAATGGCCCGTCGCCCAGTTGTTTTCAGCACCAGATTGCGCAAAAACAAAGTTATCAGCCCTGAAAATTTGGCCATAAGGCCCAGATAGCACACTATCCATGGTCCCTGGTTCCAGATCCATGAGCACAGCCCTCGGAACAAACCTTCCACAACTCACTTAATTATAGTAAAATTCACTCTCTCAAGTTGCAGATTTGAGTCTCCATGTAGCAACCAGTTGAATCAATACCATGCTCTGTACAAACAACTCCCATAACTTAGCACCGATCTGGTAACCACACTGGCCACCTTGAATGTGCAGATTTTCATTTTAGGTACTCCTTGAATGGGTAAATTGAATGGGTGAGAAAGCGTTGGATCAAAGGGCCAGGGCATCAAGATGGGAGATAAAACTCAAGAGGGATTCGGTGGGACAATGGGAATTTTAGGGAAAAAAATTCAAACAAATGGCGTGGCTTACCCGGGCACCAAGGTCCACCGATTAATGTTGACCTCCATTTCACAAAATCCTCACCGTCCAAAATACTAGACGGTGATAGGGGCTGCAGCTCTAGTTATTTTCGTTGGGCCGCAGCCCTATCAAATCATTTTCCTTATTTAACATGGCCATTACATTTTTTGGGATTTTTTATTTTTAAACAAATTTTGGTCTAGACCCGGCCGAGTCGAGTAATCGAGCCCTGATTCAAAAACACTTCAAGCAAACAAATCCCTCTTACAGCGGCCGCTGAACCCTAAACCCCAGAGCCGCGAGTACAGTAGCTGTGCAGCACTGCAGCGATCCGTCTTACTCGCGCTTGGGAAAGGGCTTCCCTCGCTGCCTCCTCGGAAGAATAGGCCGAGGTGAGGAATGGGGATCCCCGCGTTCTATCGGTGGCTGGTGGAGAGATACCCTCTCTCGGTGGTGGACGTGGTCGAAGAAGAGCAGCAGCAGTCATCATGCGTCAACAATAGCAGCAGCTGCAGAAGCAAACCAAACCCTAACAACAATACTAATAATAATAAAGGAGGAGGAGGCATGGATTTTGATAATCTGTACCTTGACATGAATGGCATCATACATCCTTGTTTCCACCCTGAAAACCTGGTATCCAACCTGCTCTGCCTCCTCCACGTCTTCCTGCTATTCATTTTCATAAGACTAACTCGTTTATTTATGGACTAATCTTCATTTTCATCCCAGCCGCCCCCAGAGTCATATGACGAGGTTTTCAAGTGCGTGTTTGCATACATCGACAGGATATTCTCCATCGTAAGACCTCACACGCTTTTATATTTGGCAATAGGTGAGGCCATACACTCCCTCCCTCTCTCTCTCTCTCTCTCACTCTGTCTCTCTCACCCCGAATTCAAGCAGATTGGCATGAATTAGAGTTTCCAATACCTGCCCTGATAGCAAGTCCGGGCCAAGTAATTGTATCGACACCTGCTTTATTTACTGATGTTATACTCAATTAAAAAAAATGTTTGTATGAATTAGACGGGGTTGCCCCACGGGCAAAGATGAACCAACAACGTGCACGTCGATTCAGGGCTGCCAAGGAGGCTGAGATGGTTAGTTTTTGCTCTGCTGTATAGATTCCTAAGGTTTTTTTAACTATTTTGGGAGGGATTACGTGATATTTGTTTTCAATGTCTTCTCAGTTAGCCGAGGAAGAAAGGTTAAGTCAAAGATTTGAATCAGAAGTGAGAGATCTATTGGCACATTCTAATCAATCAAAGGTGCTTGATTCCAATGTAATTACTCCTGGGACAGAATTCATGGCAGCATTGTCGGCAGGTCTCGAGTATTACATACATCTCAGATTGAATTCAGATCCTGGGTGGAGAAAGATTAAGGTTACTTATGTTTTTATATTCTTTTAATCTTCCTCTGCAATCCTCATTCAGTAATCAATCTTTGGGTACCCCATGCATTCAGGTGGATTACTTATTATTTGGGTGTTCTTTTTTTGTTTGAAATTAGTGACAATCTATTAATAAGTATAGATAGGTACAAAAAGTACTGACGGGAAGTGAGTGTAATCCAACCTCCAAGTCCGGTGCTCCTATAAAAAAAATGTTTGGTACAAACAAAGAAGTGTAAAAAAAAGGGTTGCTAGTCATCCACATATTGGAAACTCAGCCTCTCATGTAAGTGACAGTGGGTGTAGAGGGATGGAGAGAGACAATGGATTATTCATGATTTGAGTGTTTGCCACTTTTTAAAGGTAATTCTTTCCGATGCCAACGTGCCTGGTGAAGGAGAGCACAAAATCATGTCATACATTCGCCTTCAAAGGAATCTGCCTGGGTTTGATCCAAATACAAGGCATTGCTTATTTGGGCTGGTGACTACTTCTAATCGACATGCCAAATGATTTTTTAATTTTCTCATTGCTTATTTACTTTTGAATATTGTGTTTTGAGCAATGATTTAAAAATCGGCGAGTCGAACCGGACTCGTTCGGTTCGACTCGAGAATCGGCATAGCCCGTGTCGGTTCCAACACAAAATCGGAAATCGCCCGGTTCTAGAGAAAAATCGCCGATTCCCATCCGGTTCTGTCCGGTTCCCTCTCGGTTCTAGCGGTTCCCTCCCGATTCTAGCCGGTTCCCTCCCGGTTCTAGCCTCAAAGCCACCTTCACACGTGTGTACGCGTTACGCGTGCAATACGCACCACTCCCACTCCCACACGTGTGTACATGTGACACGAGCGGTATTCCACACACACTCCCACACATGCGACATGCACATGCACGTGTGCACGCACCACTCCCACACGTGTGTACGTGTGACATTAACGGTACACACTCCCACATGTGCCCTACGTGCGACACGCACATGCACGAGTGCACGTGTGCATCGGTTCTAGCCGGTTCAGGCCTCAAAAACACCTTTACAGGTGTGTACGCGTCACACGTGCGACACATACCACTACCACATGTGCCACACGTGCGACATGCACATGCACGCGTGCATGTGCACAGATGCCCTAGTATTTTCATATTTGTGTTTATCTTCCAATTTCATAGTTATTTATATAGCATATTTGAATACTCATCTTTCGACGTGGGATAATTCCCAAACATCATTAAATGAAAACATAATGTAAATATATGGTATTAATAGGCAATTTTAAACACATATGCTAAGGAGGCATGATGGTTATCACTAATGTTATGTGCTTTGATTTCTCAAGTTCGAATCTCCCCTTGGGCAATATAATAGTTTATCCCTTGAGCTAATTTTTGTTCCCCCTTGGGCATATAATAAATTAAAGTGTTATTTCCAAAATTTGTACGCATTTTATTAATTTTTACATTGATAATCAAATTTTTTATTTTATTTATTAAATTTTAAATTATAAATCATGTAATGTACTATTTTTCTTACAACTGTCAATAATACATTTTAAATTAGATAATATTATAAAATTTTTTAAATTTGTTATTATTTATCTAATAAAATAATTATAAAATGTAAACCAATGGTTTAAAAAGCGGATCGGTGACCCGGAAACGGCACCTCAAAAACTGATTCGGATCGGGAATCGGCTGAATCGGTCGGATTAAAGCTTCAAAAACATTCGAAAGAATTGTTAAAATTCATTTTAAATGTTGTTTTTTAGGAATCCAATAAGAAAGGAGGGTACTACATTATTAACTTTCATTTTTTTCATCAATTTGTGAATATTGAGATGCTCTTTCCCTGTATAAACTTAAGTATTAAATTTGCATCACATAAAAGGAAAATCATAGAATTATCATGGATAAAATATATAATTATACATGGACTAAAATAAAGAGTAGACTAAATCAATGAAAGAATGACCATTAAAATCTTGTTTTGGCTAAAAACCCTAATCCACTAAAAAAACCCAAATTATTACAGCCTAACTAACTATAATCCAAAATTATTACACCTAACTAATTATAATATTATACATTGAAATTATAATTATTAGTTTATATTTTATAATTATTTTATTAGATAAATAATAAAAAATTAAAAATATTTTATAATATTATCTAATTTAAAATGTATTATTGACAACTGTAAGAAAAATAGTATATTACATGATTTATAATATAAAAATTAATAAATAAAATAAAAGATTTGGTTATCAATGTAAAAATTAATAAAATGCGTACAAATTTTGAAAATAACACTTTAATTTATTATATGCCTAAGGGGGAGCAAAAATTAGCTCAAGAAGGGATAACTATTATATTGCCCAAGGGGAGATTCGAACTTGAGAAGTCAAAGCACATAACATTAGTGATAACCATCATGCCTCCCTAGCATATGTGTTTAAAATTGC